TCCGCTGCTGGAGCCGCCAGGCGTGACGCACTGCACGGGGGGAGGTGATGAGCGGGAGGGTGAAGGGCAGCTGCAAAGTGTGTGAGCCCCTCACCCAAGGGTCTTAAGCCCGCATCCATGTGTCTGCGCCCCTTAACCAAGTGTCGAAGCCCCTTACTCAAGTGTCTAAGCTACTTGCCCAAGTGTCTAACCAAGTGTCCGGACCCTTTATCCAAGTGTCTGAGCCCCTTGCTCAAGTGCCTGAGCCCCTTAACCAAGTGTCTGAGCCCCTTAACCCGGTGCCTGAGCCCCTTAACCATGTGTCTCCACTCAGGGTGGCGGAAAACCACCGGAAACCAATGGGAAACCACTGGGAAACCGCTGGGAAACCACAGGTTCAAGGGAAGTCAGAGGTGGAGGGCAGCAGCGGAAGATCTCATGAAATCCCCGCTATCTGTAATTCAGGGCACTTCTTCGCGACTAAGATGGTCAATTACGTTTTTCAAGTCACGTACACGTAAAATTACGTGTAAATTTACGTTTACGTTTTTACGTGTAATTTACGCCGGGCAGATGATATAAAAATATTCAAAAGATGTTATATTATAAAAAAAACAAAAAAAAGCCACAGCGAGCACTTGTGCTTATACCAGGGGGGGGGAAACCAGCAGTTGAATGGCAGACGCAAACGGATTTTGCAAGGGAATGGGGAATGGTAGCTCGACAAGCATAGAGTGGGAGTTGCTGGGGAAAATGGATGCGGGCGATGGGAAGGGGAGGTGTTAAAAAGAAGGGGTTGACTTCTTTTTTTGTGTCATTCTGTTAAGTCACCAACCCTTCTCAACATCATCGTGTCGTCGCACCTGCGACACATTTGACTTGGTCGGTAAGTGACATGCCGACCAATTCCCTTGCAGCACGCAACCGACACTTGCAAATTCTGACCAATCGGATCGGGAGTCCACCAGAAACGGTAGTTTCTGGTGTGACAAACTTATTTAGATGTCTGGTAAAATGAGTGGAAAGCCATCTCTATACAAAGGGCACTCTTGGGCAGCTTAAAAAATAAAACTCTGCCCGGAAACGTAAGCTGGTTTCAAAAAAATCGTAAACGAAATGCAACGTAAACCGACGTACACGTAAACGTAAAGTCCATCTTAGCTTCGCGATGGGAGGCGAAGCAGGAGCAGCTGACTTTTAACAGGAGCATTATCTTCAGGGGAGCAGCGCTTTCCGGAATCAGTCAGTAAGCAGCAGAAAAGCTACGTGGGGTACGATTGCAGACCTAACTCAGAAGCAGGCTGACGGGAGCAGGTCTCTAAAACACCACGCGACACTGACGCCGCGGCGACAATGGTGCTGAAAGCTTTCGATGTGGCGCCAGCGCGCTGGAAACAGCGACAAGCATTCTCAAGCATACAGCAGTGGTACAGAACCGTAATCACAGAGATGATGGTTTCAACTGCTGGAGAATAGATAGAGTGGAGGACGAGCAGCTGGTTGGCAGTCTAGTGTTCCCCGATGACCGCCTCACTGTACCTACGGTTGGCTCCCCAGGGAGGGCAAGATTATCGCTCAAGGGCATACTGAGCATACCGAGCATACCGAGCCAGCATACCGAGCATACCGAGCATACCAAGCCAGCATACCGAGCATACCGAGCATACGGAGCATACGGAGCATACCGAGCCAGCATGCCGAGCATACCGAGCATACCGAGCCACCATACCGAGAATACCAGGCATACCGAGCGTACCGAGCCAGCATACCGAGCATACCAAGCCAGCATACGGAGCATACCAAGCCAGCATACGGAGCATACCAAGCCAGCATACGGAGCATACCAAGCCAGCATACCGAGCATACCAAGCCAGCATACAGAGCATACCAAGCCAGCATACAGAGCATACCAAGCCAGCATACCGAGCATACCAAGCCAGCATACAGAGCATACCAAGCCAGCATACCGAGCATACCAAGCAAGCATACCGAGCATACCAAGCCAGCATACCGAGCCAGCATACCGAGCCAGCATACCGAGCATACCAAGCCAGCATACCGAGCATACCAGGCATACCAAGCATACCGAGCATACCAAGCCAGCATACCGAGCATACCAGGCATACCAAGCATACCGAGCAGACCAAGCATACCAAGCCCAGTCACCAGGCTGTGACACCGGGCTGTGGTGGTGGGAAACCACTCAGGTTGGTGGGCAACCACTCGAAAGCCGCTCAGGGTAGTGGGAAACCACTCGGAAACCGCTCAGGGTGGTGGGAAACCACTCGGACACCGCTCGGGGTAGTGGGAAACCACTCGGAAACCGCTCAGGGTGGTGGAAAACCACTCGGAAACCGCTCAGGGTGGTGGGAACCCACTCGGAAACCACCACTCGGAAACCACTAGGAAACCGCTCGGGATGGTGGGAAACCACCGGCTACTGTTCCATGTGGAAGGTGACTCACTGGAGCGAGAGGGTTGCGCGTGCGAGAAGGGTGGCGGTACGCAAACTCCGTCATGGCGGCCTTGCCCTGGACGATGAGTAACAAGGGACGACGGACGGGGAGGGAAGGTGGGAGAGAATTGGGATGGAAGTAGTTGTATAGATGCATGTATATAGCCTCCCAAAAAACATGCACCAAGACACGGTACAGTACGCAAGGATTACAGGAACAGTATACGGCCAAGGAGAACTGCTAGACTGTGCGAGACTGTATAGAGATACATGCACAAATCTGCAATATGCGAGGACGAGAGCAGGAAGGGATGTGAAGAACATTGGAATGTCACATATCTGGGTGTGAACATACCAGGACGATAGCACCAGCAGACCTCAACCGTTGGATGATCTGCAATCAGAAGCAGATGGACGGAGACCCCCAGGGAAACAGTGAGCAGCGCCATAGCCAAAATCAATCAGCCAGAATTCCTCACATCTCTATTCTAGCTATTCTATAAGTCCTTTCAGAAGCTCGCCTCCCGTCCCGCACCTTCCCCCACGCACCTCGCCCTCTTTCATCCACAGCACCGAGTCCAGCGCAGGGAAGCCCAGCAGCGCGCCTGCCTGCGTGGAGAAGCCGTCCACGTGGACCAGATCCTGCTTGGGGGAGGGGGGGGGAGGAGGGGGGGGCAGGGAGGTTGTAGTATCCAATCTAGATGCTGCAGCGGCAATAATTTGCGCCGAGCGCAAATGCTGCTCGCCTCTTCAAGGAGCTAAGCCGGGTTTCAGGAGCCACACAGATCAACCCCAGGTATGCTCCGTTTCTTGAATATGTGCTGAGTGCACCCAGGGGTCGCACCGTTCACCGCACCTTGACTGCCACGGGCACGCCCAGCAGCAGCGGAACTTCTGCCGTGGCCTCCGTCTCTGATGCTCGTCCTCCTCCCATTAGGCCCATTAGGCCCTCTGCCCTCGCCTCGTCCTCCTGCCCGCTGCCATCGTTATCCTCGTTGCCTGCTTCCACCCGGCCGCAACCAGCCTGCCCCCCCTCTCGCACCTCCTCCTCTGCTGCACCTGCCCTTGCCAGCGCGCCTTTGAGCTCGCCTAGCATTCGGCTGAGGAGGGGAGGGGCGGTGGAAGGGAAGGGCGAGGTGTAGGGAATAAGGGGAGGGAAGCGGTGTGCAGAATCCTTAGGTTCCGGCTAGGTCTGCCTGTCCCTCTGGCTGCCCAGCATGCATCAACTGAGGACATGCCATGTGGTGAGGACATGCCATGTGGTGAGGACATGCCATGTGGTGAGGACATGAAAGTACGCAAGTCCCCATTTTTTGCATCCCACGTATCTCAACAAGATGAACAACCCTCTCCTCTACATTCTACCAGCGCATTTGAGGTAGAACCTAAACCCGTCGCCTCTTTTCTTCCGTGCCGAGCCCCGGTTCCCACTGCTCACCTGCGCCTCGCATCCTCCGCCAGCAGCGCGCCGAGCCCCGGTTCCCACTGCTCCGCAGCGTCACACGCGCGATGCACCGCTGCCACGGCCGCGCGACGCACGCCGGACCAACCCGACCTCGCGAAAACCTCCTCGGGAGTATCCTGCCACGCTCGGCGCGCTTCTCGTAGCTGTCTCCAGGCTTCGGGGTTTCGCCCTAGGGTTTCACGCTCTTGCACGTGCTCCTTCTTTCCATCCACCCTCTGACGCGACGCTGCTGCGACAACGGCATCGCAGGCGTCATCAGATACGCAACTATATTGCATCCCGGGGAAACATGCATGGAAAGCAGAAGTGTGTCTAAAATGCTGCTCGCATTGACTTTTCTCAATAGCCCATGCGGCCGACAATCTGGAGGTCGAAGCTGGTCGAAAAAAGACGCTCGATGTACCCTGCAAGGTGAAGGTGAATGCCTCCATTACTCCTCGCAGGGGTTGCGCATTTCCTCGATTTCTTCTACGCGCGTATCTGTCAAACAATGCTTCCAGATGGGGAATTGTCAATTTGTCACACCTAGGAAGCGTCACCAAGACGAGGATTTGCCGTGACTCAGTAGTGCAATAGCCGATAACAAATTCTGCTGTTTCCAGAATTGAAAGGTGTAATAGTCTCTGGTGCTTGAGTGTATTCAGGCGAGATACCCGCCTTGCGATTGGATGGCAGAAACCAGCATCTTCGTCCATTTGTGAACCAACCGGCCTTCAGTCTGAGGGCAGGGGGGGCGCTGAGGACCTTCCAAATCTGACGCAATCCATCCACTCACGGCGGAGACCCAATCGCCGCGCCGGCTACCTCGCCTTCCACGTCAACCAGTGTGGTCCTCCACCTACGTGGCGAGTGCCTCTTGACCTCCTCCTCTTTCTCATCTCGCGACACATTACGTGCGAATATTCGAGCTTTTCGCAAACTCTTAATTGAAGTGGGGAACGCACAGACGAGTCTGGTAACTTTAGAGAAAGCATTGACCCCCTTCGCACAACTACGATTCATTTCCAGGGGTTCCCACCCAGTGCCACGGGTTTTGTCAGTCAGGCCAAAAAGAAGGCGGCAGAGCGGACTTGACCGGGAGGCACAAGAAACAAGGGTTTCATTTCAGCTCCTCAATGCTCCCCCTCACAGGCTGAAAGATAGCAGAGTTGGTCAGTTCAGTGGTTGTAGCATCTCCCAGCTCGAGAATCTCTGGGCCTCACCTTATGTCCGAGGAATATCCGCAATAGCATATTTCCGGAATTGCACGCGAAGCGTTATCAGCTTTTATCACCATCGCGTTAGTCTTCTTGATGTGCGGTGTGTCATCTGCAGAGCGGTCGTGTATGAAGGTTCGCTCATGGTTCAAAAGTCGTCAGCCGCCATGCTTGCAGCACGAGGTGCGGAACCTCAGTCTTGTAAGCAGTCGTTAGTTCGGGTAGGAGTAAAAGGCATGTTGCGAGGCACGTTATCCGACCGTAGGATGAAAGGCAGAAGGCCAGCTGGAGGAGTGAAGCAAAACGAGAAGCAGGATGGCAAGAAGAAGTCGAAGGCTGCACTCTCGCATGCGATGGCCCACAAGCCAGTAGAAACCAAGAAGTTGGCGTCAGCGCTGGCAGCGCATCTGCAGAGCCTGTACAAGGGAGAGGGAGTGCTGGTGGTAGAGGACGACAAGCGCATCATCTTCTACTGCACCCTTTGCGAGTATGTGATACTTCCTTCTCCCGGTTGTAATTTCCCTTTCCTTGGTCGCACTGACGCGTCTTATTCAGGCTTACAAGATTTGACGGCGGTCATTGGATGACTGTGTCTTCGCGTTTGACTGACTACTATTTCCTTTCGTCGAATGCAGGGTGTGGGCCTACCACGATGCGAGCCTGGTCGACCATTTACACGGAAAGAAACACAAGCGAAAACAGGGAGAAGCCACGCCGCTCACTTCACCGCCATCCAGCGTCACCGGAAGTCCGCCGTGGGAGAAAACCTCCAAGTTGACGCCACCGTGGAAGCTCGTTGGGGAAGGTGAGCCCACCGCTCGATCCGTGAGCGACGGCCACGTGCTTTCCACATGTTTTCGCTGGTTGAGACGACCTGGAACTTGAAGTTTACCCTTCTCCGCTGCTGCAGGAAAAGGCTCCGCCGTGTCTTCGTCCTCCAAGCGTAAAGCTGCTCATCCGACCGATGCATCTAAGACTTCTAGTGGAGGCTCCAAGCGCCAGAGAATAGCCAATGAGCAAGCTGCTTCAAGTATACCTGGCAGTGTGGCGGATGCACTCGCCATTGTTCCAGCAGCAGAGGAGGAACCGGAGGAACCAAGCCGGCCGGAGGACTTCGCTCTAGCGCTGTTCAAGTTCACGAATTTGATTGGCCGCCGAGGGAAGTGGGAGAAGCAGCTGTTGAAATGCTCCGACTCTGGACCTGGCGACAAGCACGACCAGGGGGAGGAGCTGCCGCTGCTTGCGGATATCCCCACGGAGCGTGCAGATGAGCCCAAGAAGCAAGTGCAAGGAGCCAGTAGCAAGGATAATATTCCCCGAGATGGTGTCGAAGGTGACAAGGAGAAGGAGCCGGAAGGAATGGTTCCTGAGCTAGGTTGCACAGAGAAGCCAGCCGAGCTGAACGCGGGTATGGACGTAGAGTGTGGTGCTTGCGATGGCAACGACTCCACGGCAGTGCCTGGGCCGGGTGAGGCGGCCTCAGGAAGAGCTGAAGACGACGCGGCGGGCAATGCGCCTGCAGCTCCAGTGCCAGAAAGAGCGGCGGAAGCAGACGCCTCTGAAGATGTCAGCCCCCCGGCTGCAGTTTCGGCTGCAGTACCGGCCAAGAGACGGAAAGGAGTATCGGGGGCGGGTACAGGAGCGAGGGTGTGTTTCCTGTGTCAGCTGCCCATGGTGGAGGGGCAGGTGGTTGGCGCTCTGTGGAATGCTCGGTTGAAACGATTCGCGTGCAGCAGCAGAAACCGGCACAAGGTGATACACATGTGTTTCTCTCTGTGGCTCTGTCCCTTACCGGTTTTCTTCATTCCTGTGCTCTTTCCACAGTCTTGCATCTGCTTCACCTTCGTGGCTCGCTCTGCTTCATAAATCCTCTTTCTGAAATCTCCCCCCCCACCCCCGCCTCCCCCTCCCCCCCTTGCGAGCAGAAGTTCCACATATTCCACTCTCACTGCATAGCGGACTGGGTGGTCTTTTGCTCCGCCATCGCCAACACACGCGTGCCGCCCGCCCTCTGCTGCCCGCTCGAGGCTGACGTGGCGCACCTCCTCACCTCCATGCACCACCACCACAAAGCGCATGCCGCATCCCTGGGGCCGAGCCGTCTCACCAGTGCCGCCACCGCAGATGCTGCTGCTGCTGGCAAAGTCACAGGAGCTGCTGCTGCAGCCGGCGGTAATGCTCCTGTCTCTGCTAGTGCTGCTGTTGGGACCACAGGGAATGGCATGCAAGGCGAAGCTCCTGCAGCCAGTGGGGCTGGGATGAACGGTGCGGATGCTGATGCCAGCAGCGCCAGTAGTGAGGAGCTTCATTCCGATGCGTGGGCGTGGGCTGGCATTCCAGACGCCCTCCACTCATCTGCCACCGCTGCTGCTGTTGCAAGTTCCGCCTTGGCTGCTGCCGCTGCCACAGGTGCGCGTTTCCCCTTATGTAGGCCTGTGTCGTTTTCGTTTCCAGCCCTCACTTGATTCAGCAGTTGCTGTTATGGTGGTACATGGTGGTGGCATGCTAATGCTTGTTTCCGTGGCTCTCGCAGGCCCAGTTTCCAGTGAAGATGCGGCGGTCGTGGCCATCGTTGCTACAGCTGCCGCCTCTGCTGCTGCGTCCCTCACGGCTCCACCTCGTCCTTCGGTCAATGCGGCTGCGGCATTGCACACACATGGGACGCGGACCTCGCCTGACGCCGTGTCACTGGAGCCAAGCAAGGAGAAGAGCAGCGCGCCTGCAGCAGCGCCTGGAGCAGCTGCAGCTGTCAACAAGGCTGTGTCGGACAATAGGGCGGAGTCGGATTCAGTGGTGCCGGCAGGACCTGCAGCTCCAGCAGCTGCGGCTGAGGGCGCAGAGGCACTGGAGGGGGCGAAGCTGTTGCCGCTGACTGAGGTGTTCTGCCCCGAGTGCCAGGGCACAGGGCGGTATGGACCCCAGGACTCCCTGGAGCATCCCCGCTACCGCCTTGCGCAGGTCAGAGCAGCCACGGATGCAGGCCGTCTGCCATGGGGATAGGCACTTGCTGTTCATTGCTGGACGTTGTGTACGGCCTCTTATCTCTGTGCTTCCTTTCCTTGGCAGGTGTTTGACTGGATTGTGGCCATGATGATTGCACAGAAGGCAGGCATGGCGCGAGGGGGCGAGGAGGAGGGTGACGGGGCAGGAGGCAAAGCAGATGTAAGCATGAAGGCGGGATCCCCTGAGGGGGATGAGGGGGCGCCTGACATCAGGGAGGGTGTGGAAGGGTCAGCTGGCAGGAAGGCCGAGATGGCTTTGGGTGCTGAGGGGAAGGCGACAGCAGCCGAGGTTGCCCATCCTTCTCCTCCAACTTCTCACACTTGTGCAGCTCATTGTACAGTAGGCAATGGTGAAATCTCTATTGGGAAGGAAGCAGGCATGCAGGACATGGGTGCAGGCAGCAGTAGATGTGCTGGGGCTGACGGTGTGAAGGTTGATGGTCTTGTGGAGAGTGCAGCAGTGAAGAGCTCAGATGAAGGTGCAGCAGCTGGAGTAGCGGCAGCCCGTCTGCATTTTGCGGACCACACTGTACAGAAGGTGAGTCCTAGCCGCCCACCTTTTTCTCCAGGTCTGCTCATCTGCATTCTTCTTTCCAGCAAATCGCTGCTGTTTCACTGAACACTTCACTTTCTCCGTGTCCAGACAAGGTCCACTCATTCTCTCCCCTCTTTGTCTGTCTCTCCCTGCCTCCACGCCATGTGTGCCAGGCAGCAGACGTGGCATTCCGCGGCCTCAGGGTGCTCTCAGCTGAGTTCCTGTCGGCACACATGGGCAAGGGAAAACACTTGGGCACGCCCACTGGCTCAAACAAGCATGCGTAGTGCTGGGGTGAGGACGATTTTATGGGTTCTATAGGTGTCTTGGAAGGTGGGTGAGGCATGGGGAGAAGGGACCGGACAGGATGTGTACATTGCTGTGCATACCTGGTTTCAGAGGATAGTTATGGGACACTCCAGCTTGCTTGCAGGTGTTTAGCCTGCAGTATTTGTGCAATGAGCAGGTTGCCTGGTCCAAGGATTCCCAGGATTTGGCACTTCCAACAGGTATCTATATTTTTGCTCCTACTGTATATTACTAATCTACGATACCGCATGTGTTCTACATTTGGCTGCATATGAAGCTGATATGAATTCATATTTCTACCAACCAAGTTTTGCACTGGCAGAGCACAAGCGGATGCCACCTTATCGCAGACGAGCTTGGAGCAGCCTCCACTCACCCCCGATCCCCTTGCTGCAGGCTTCACCCTAGATTCACCCTAGATTCAGCTTGCAGTTTCTAGCCTACCCCTGCTGCCCCCGTAACTGTCCCTCATTTCTGAGCGCTGCTCGCAGCCCTCCTTGGCTAGTAAAGCGTCAGGTAGTCCTCAGTTGGGCCCCCTTTTCTCTCCGTAGTGCGCCATGCACCTCGAGTGGGAGCTAGAGCAGAATGTGGAGGATCAGCCGGAGCAGCAGGGGCAGAGCCAGGGGCCGGGCAGGGACGGATTGTGCGCGGATCAGGAGGCGGCGCGCAACGCGTTCGACCTGCAGATTCTCGACATGAACTTTGACGCCTGCTCGCACAGCCCGCCCGGCGGGCTGTCGTTCGACCTACGCCACGCGCCGCCCTTCCTGGGCAGCAACCCCTATCATTCGCTCGCATTCAACGCCCACCCCGCGTCGTCCGTGCAGTCGCAAAACGCCGCTCCTTCACAACCCGAGAATCGGCACGAGGTCGCTGTCCCCAGCACGCGTCACGCTGGTCGCAACGCCTACGAACCCTCACCCGCGGAGAATAACACTAATGATAACACCAACTACGGCGCGAGCTCGTCCGACCCTCCCTCCAGAAGCGCCTTCGACCTTCAGCCTGGCAGCACGAACTTCGACGCACCCTCCGAGGCTCCGTCTGGTGCTCCGTGCGACGCTCCCTCCGGGGCTCCCGCGGCCATCCGGCTGCCGTACGATCTGCATCCGCCCGACATCAACCTGCCGCTGCCGCTGCCCATGCCCATGTCCATGTCCATGTGCCTCGACCTCGGCCTCGACGCCCCCCACCCCGCTCATGCCGCTCACGCCGCTGATGCGGCCATAGAGACGGCCGCTCCTGCTCCTGCTGGTCGTCACGGTGGGGATGGCAGGGCCGTTGGTGGTGGAGGGGACAGACGGGACCGTGGGGATGCTGCCCAGGATGATCCTGCCGCAACGAGTGAGCAGGGAAGGATTGGCGAGTTTGGCGGAACCGGCGAGGTTAGTGCTGTGTGCGCAGGTATGCTGAGGGAATTCCAGCAGGGCACGGAGAGTGGGACAGAAGAGCAAGGTGCAGAGGGAGGGGAGGAAGGGGAGAACGGGCGGCAGCAGCAGGCGGAGCAGGCAGCGTCGGACAAGGCGGACGGGCAGGACGAGGCGCCTGATGCTGGCGGCATGGCGCTCTGGTGGGATGTAGGCCCGGCGCCGAACCTGGACATCGAGATAGCTCCGGTGGGTGCCCCGGCAACGAGGTTTGCGCCGAGGCTGATATTTAGTCTTGACAGCCAGCCGCCGTCCACCGCTCCCCCTGCTGCAGCGACCGCAGACGCCAGAGCTCCTATCCCTTCTGGACTCGCCCCACCCCCCACAACTCACGATCCCAGGGAGAGCCACGCACGCACAGCGGCTGTGGAGGCCGCGCCTGGCAGCACCTCCGCATGCACCCACGCCACCAGCACGTGCCACGTGCTGCAGCAAGGGGGACATGGCCAGCACGAGCAGCTGTTGCTGCAGCAACAGCAGCAGCAGCAAGTGTACATGCAGCGCAGCCAGCAGCAGCAATGGCTGCAGCATCCGCAGCACACCGCTTTTGCCACAGGCAGTTACAGGCCGCCGGCAGCACCACGCCTTGCGCCTTCTCCTCGCCATGCGCCCGTCCAGCCGCCTTGTCCCCCCTGCCTTGCTCCCCTGCCACCACCAGCTGAAACTGCCTCACCAGCAGCACCGGCAGCTGACGAAGCAGCAGCAACAGCAGCAGCAGCAGCAGCAGGAACAGCAGCAGGAACAGCAGCAGGAACAGCAGCAGGAACAGTAGTAACAGAAACACCAGCAACAGCAGCAACTGGCACAACCCCAGCAGCAGCAATGGCAGCAACGGCGATGGGGCGTGTGGCACGTATGGGTGGCTCTAGCAGCAGCACATGGCAAGACGCAGGCAGGGCAGCATCGATAGACGGGGGTGCAGAAGCAGATGCGGACACGAGTGTGGATGCGAGTGCACCAGAGTCAGGGAGGGGTGTGGACACGTGTGGGGCTGCGATTGGTCCCAGTGGCCGTGCTGGTGGCAGCAGGGGCACACTGGGTGCCGTTCCCGGTGATACCGCCGCCATCATCCCTAGCAGCAGCACCATACCGAGAAATGCCGCCTCCCCTAGTGGCAGCGGCATTCCAAGGGACAGCGCTGCCCCTAGTGGCAGCGGCATTCCGCGGCGGTTCACGGTGAGGGAGGACCGTATGTGGGGCGCGCACTTCTTCTTCTCGCACTACTACACCTCCACGCTCGCCCACTCGGTAAGTCCCATGCGTAGTGGGCCTGCAAACTCTCGATCCGTGTGTTTGATGCATAGTGTGCCTCCATCCCCTCTCACATGGAGAAGCCTAGTGTGCCCAGACCACTGGATCGTCGAACTCAAGCTGGCAACCCCCTCCCTCCACCCCTCCCTCCCCTGGCAACCAACGCGGGCTGGGGTCGTTCACGGTGCAGCACGACATTGAGAACGCATACATGTGGGCGTTCACCCTCCCTCCTTTCTCGTTTCCTTCACCCCCCCCTGCTCCCCCCCTTTCCCCCTTCCTCCCTCTCTCCCCGTCCCACCAGCATGGCCTCGAGTCGTTCATGGTGCAGCACGACATTGAGAACGCGTACATGTGGGCGTTCAGCCTGCGACCCGAGCACGCGCTGGGCAAGATGCAGCTGCGCTGCTTCATCTACGGCAACTCCAGGTGCGCTGTGAGGTCACGGCACCTCCAGGTGCGCTGTGAGGTCACGGCAACTCCAGGTGCGCTGTGAGGTCACGGCACCTCTGGGTGCGCTGTGAGGTCACGGCACCTCCAGGTGCGCTGTGAGGTCACTGCACCTCCAGGTGCGCTGTGAGGTCACGGCACCTCCGGGTGCGCTGTGAGGTCACGGCACCTCCAGGTGCGCTGTGAGGTCACGGCAACTCCAGGTGCGCTGTGAGGTCACGGCACCTCCAGGTGCGCTGTGAGGTCACGGCACCTCCAGGTGCGCTGTGAGGTCACGGCACCTCCAGGTGTGCTGTGAGGTCACGGCACCTCCGGGTGCGCTGTGAGGTCACGGCACCTCCGGGTGCGCTGTGAGGTCACGGCAACTCCAGGTGCGCTGTGAGGTCACGGCAACTCCAGGTGCGCTGTGAGGTCACGGCACCTCCAGGTGCGCTGTGAGGTCACGGCACCTCCAGGTGCGCTGTGAGGTCACGGCAACTCCAGGTGCGCTGTGAGGTCACGGCAACTCCAGGTGCGTTGTGTGGTCCAGGCTACTCCAGGTGCGCTGTATGTGAGGCCCAGGCAGCGCCACGCACGTGTCTCAACACGTCCGTGAGTCCTTGTGCGTGCGAGCGATGTCGTGCCGGCCGATTTCATGTCTATCTACCTCCTACTTTTGCATCAAAAGCTATGCTGCAGACATGTCTACTTTTCCCTCCCACTTGTTCACGTTTCCTCCCCCTCGCTCACCGCATCTCTTTCATCCACAATGCGCCAGGGTGGACGAGCCGTGCTTCCCCTTTCCCGAGAAGGCGGGCTTCCTGCGTTCACACCGCCTGCAGCGGCGGCGCTACAAGGGCCTCGCCAACCCGCTCTGCATCCACGGCGTCACGCCTGTCGCCACTCCCGACCTCTCCGCCGTCCCTCACCAGAGCAGGAAGCGGTGGGAGGAGCTCACAGGTGGGTGCCACTGTGCTGCCGTGCAACTCTTCGTTACAGCCGCCCTGCCTCCGATCTTGTGTGTGGTAACGAAATCTGTTTTTTTTTACTCGTTTCTTTTGCCTTGAAGGAGTAAATTCCGGAGTGATCCATGGCAGTGTGACCACACGGACTGGGCCTTTCACTCCCTCCATACTCCCCAATTTCTCTCCGTTCTATTGCATGCCAGGTCGCCCTGTGGGCTTTTCTCTCTCCCCGCACGCCCATGACTACACTGCCTGGCGCTCCCTGCTGCCGCCTGCTCCCATGCCGAGCCACGCACCCGCCACGTGTGCTGATGCTGCAGGGAATGCTGTGGGCCCAGGTAATGGTTCCGGCATATGTGGTGCTGCAGGTGTAAGCAGCCAGGTGCAAGGTGCGCAGCCAGCAGCAGCAGCAGCAGCAGCAGCATTGGTGGCACCACTGCCAGAAGTATTGCCAGGATCAGCAGCAGCAACGTCTGCAGTGGCTGTAGGACGAGCAGCAGCACCAGGAGCAGCGTCAGGCACAGCAGCAGCAGTAGCAGCACGAGCAGTGGAAGCAGGAGCAGCAGTGCAGCGGCAAGGGGGAGCAGGACGACTGGAGCAGGGTACTTCAGAGGCAGCGGGAGAAATCGCAGCAGGTGCTGCTGGTGGGGCAGTGGCAATGACAGTTGAAGGCACAGGGGAGACGGTGGAGGGGGGGTGGGCAGGGGAAGGTAGGGGGAGGCAGGTGGGCATGCAATGGGCTCTGGAGCTAGGAGGGCTGCAAGTGACACGGATGAGACAGATGCAGGAGAGACAGGAGAGGCAGGAGCAGCAGAAGCGGAGGATGCAGGGGAGGGAGCCGCAGCAGCAACAAGAGGGACAACAACGACTGCCACAGCAGCAGCCGCAGCAGCAGCAGCAACAGGGAGTGCAGGACGCACATTTAGCCCAACAGGTGAGTGCTGCGAGGCTGAATGACGGTGACCGGCGCTGCATAACTGCCGACGTTGACAGAGTGAACAGCGGGCAGGCTGGCTCTGGAGGCCGACAATTGCGCAGGGCTGTGGAAAGCTTGCAGCGGGGGGAAGGGGACCCGCAGCCATTTGGGCTGACAGAACTGATCCATTTGAGTGGCAGCAGTGGGAGGGGCGGGGGTGAGAGGACGATGGGAGGGGCCCGAGCTGGGGATGAAGCAAATGGGGGAAGAGCGGAGAGAAGTATTGTGTGCTTTAGACGACCCGTAGCAAGGCAGCAGGTGCAGGCAGCACGGGCAGAGAGGCAGCAGATGCAGTCAACCGATGCGTTCTGGCATGGGCTGAACTCCGCTGGACTGGGCATGCCTGCAGCGCCCCCTGTGTGTGCGTCACCCGCTGTAAATACATCACTCGATGTGCATGCCTCCCCCCCTATGCAGGCATCACCCGGTGTGCATGCATCAGAGCACTCGAGCGCATCACCACATGCACATGCACAGCCACATGTGTTCACGTCTGGGCGGCGGAGACGAGCAGACGACCCGCTTCTGGGCGGCACAAGCAAACGAGCGCACAGTGCCGCCACTCCCTTGCTGCCTGCTGCTGCCTCGCTGTTTGCCACTGCCAGACCTGTGGCTGCTGCTCCCCTGCTTCCTGCTGCTGGTGGCATTGCTGTTGGGACAGGAGGTGTGGCTGCAACCAGTACTGCACTCAACATGGCTGCTGCCAGCACTGCTGCTGTTGGACAAACTGGAGGTGCTGCAATGATAGGGAGAGCAGTTGATAGGCCAAGCAATGCAGGAGATAGGGCAAATGAGGGGATCGCAGTTGTGAGACCATGTGCACGTCTGGTTGGGGCAGCAGCGCATGTTCAGCAGCACCAATGGCAGCAGCAGCAGCACCGTCTGCGGCAACAGCCACTTCATCCACAGCAGCAGCAGCAGCAGCAGCATTGGCAACAGCAGCAGCATCAGATAGCGCACGGATGCCACAGACCAGTTCCAGCACCAGCAGCACGTGCAGCCGCAGCAGCAGCAGCTTCCCTGGCAGCAATATCACCCCACCCACAAAGCCAACCAGCAGCACCACCGTCACTGCCACCTGCACCAGCAACAGCCACAACAACAGCAGCAGTGGCAGCATCAGTGCCAAGCGCCCAGCCTCCTGTGGGGAACACAGCCGAGTTTCAACCGAGATTGGTGGCTGACATTGATGATGCCGCACCTCAGACCGAACCAGACGCTACACATCGGACCGAGCCTGCCACCGAAGCTGCAAGCGAGGCTGAGGCACAGCCGGGCCTGTCATCTACAAGCGTGGGTGTGTCGGTGCGTGACTATAGCGAAGGTGGGCAGGAGGAGCCGGGCCTTGCGTCCCTCACTTTGAGCCACAGCGGGCAGGTGAATGGGCGCAGGGAGAGACACGGGCGAGAGGATGGAAGAATGGGATTTGGTCACAGGCGGAATGGAGTGAGCTTAGCGGCAGAAGGGTTAGGAGCGGGAGGAAGGGCGGGAGGAGGAGAAGAGACAGGGCGAGATGAAAGGGGCAGGATGATGCGTGAGGAGGTATGGAGGCAGCAGGGTGATAGAGGCAGTGGTGGGGAGGAGGGGGAGGCACGGACAGCACATGCGTCAGGGGGGAGAGCGGGCGTGAGTGGGGCTGTTGCCAGGGGACTTGACCCAGGGCCGGCACTAGCCACACCAGCCATGGCATGGAGAGGAGGGGCGTCAGGCGCACTTGCTAAGGTATGGCGCTGGCCTTGTGGATTCAATTCCTCGTCTGAACGAGGGGCTTCTTACCTAAGTCTTCTGGCCTAGCTTCTCTCCTTTCCTTCTCTTCCTTTTCCTCAGGCTCTCGCCCTGCTCACGTGCACGTGTTCTCTGTACGAGGACGCCTCCGCCGCCCTAATTTTTATCTCCCTTGTCCACAGGCTCTGGGCGCGCCCACATGCATGTGCTCGCTGTACGAGGACGCCTCAACCTACCTGCTGCTCGTCTCGCTGCCCCACTGCGACCTGTCCCGCCTCCGAGTCACGTGGCGCAACGCCGGTGCTGCTGGGGTAGTCAAGGTGGGTGTGTGTGTGACTGTAGGGAGGGGTAGTCTAGGTGCGTGACTGTAGGGAGGGATAGTCAAGATGTGCATGCTTGCGTCTTTGTGACTCTACTTCACCCTTTTTTCCCATCCATTGCTCGTTTCCACAGATTACTTTCTCTTTGAAACCTTTTTTAAGCAAGCCCAGCTCCACCTCCCTGCCTCCCTCCCTGCCGTGTGACCTGCATCAGATTTCCTGCACGGCTACCTTCCCTCCACCCTCCATATCTCGCTCCAACCGCACTTTCCGCCAAGTGTCGCCCTCCCATTGGTCGGAGGAGCACTGCCCCATCGGCCCGTTCGAGAGGGAGGTCCATCTGCCTCAGCGCATTCCAGAGAATGCTGACGTGGCTGCCAGTGCATCAGTGGATGGGTGAGTCGTCAGGATTTTTAGGGGCCCTGATCTGCAGAGTAGTTGCCAATGCAGTGTTCTCTGGCTTGTGCTGAGGCATGTGTTCAGAGTTCAGGGCGCTTTTTTGCTTACGGGCAACAGCGTTCGGTGGTGGTGAGGTGATCTGGTGAAGTGTTTATTCCGTCCCTCTCGGTGTTTCTTTCTGGCAGGACGAGCATTGAGCTGCTGGTGCCAAAGCTCACCGCAGTCACGGAGGAGCGCGAGGTTCGGGTGCTTGTTCCGGCCCTGCAACAAACATGAGCGCTGCTCCTATACCCGCGCCAACAACCACTCTGCCAATATCGTGGATTGTAATTACCGTATATGCCATGTGAATTTGTGTTTGATGTGTGCCTTGTACCGTGTATGTTGGTTTGAATCCATGTGCGTGTCTGCTCAACTTGGGTGCATCCACTTCAGAGTGTCGGGTCATGGTACGTGTGCGGATGGGATAGAAGACGAAACATGAGAGATGGATCTGGACAGCTATATCCAAAAGAATAAGTCGGTGATTACAAATCTATAAATTATCTTGATTTGTACATCATCATTTCATGTTTCTAGTTTTATGACAGCTGCACTTCTATGGTCGCATGCATTGTAATGTATCGTTATCTAAGTTACCGCATCGGTGATTGCCTGTGAGGCTGATGTCAAACATGTGTAGTTGTTATGTTTGCATAGACTGTATAGGGTCACCTCTTAGAGGGTACAATACTTAGGTATATCTATCTGTACTCTCCCACTAGTCATCACAATTCAGTTCACTCAGTTTGATATGGTATCACGCGTAGGTTAGGATCCCCCCACCTACCGCTTCCGCTCGTTCCCTAGCTAGGCCCCGCCGTGCCCCGTCGCGACCCCCTGGGCCCTTCGTGCCCCTAGCCCTGCCGCGCCCCTCTTGGGCCCTGTCGCGACCCCCTAGCCCTGTTGTGACCCTCCCGGGCCCCGCTGCGCCCCTCGCCCTGTAGCGCCCCTCCTGGGCCCCGTAGCGCCCCTCCTGGGCCCCGTCGCGCCCCTCCTGGGCGCCGTCGCGCCTCTCCTTGGCCCCGTAGCGCCCCTCCTGGGCCCCGTAGCGCCCCTCCTGGGCCCCGTAGCGCCCCTCCTGGGCCCCGTAGCGCCCGGCCCCGTAGCGCCCGGCCCACTCGCGCCCCGCCCGGCCCCGTCGCACCCGCCCGGCCCCGTCGCGCCCTGCCCGGCCCCGTCGCGCCCCGCCCGGCCCCGTCGCACCCGCCCGGCCCCGTCGCACCCGCCCGGCCCCGTCGCACCCGCCCGGCCCAGTTGCGCCCTGCCCGGCCCCGTCGCGCCCGCCCGGCCCCGTCGCACCCGCCCGGCCCCGTCGCACCCGCCCGGCCCCGTCGCACCCGCCCGGCCCCGTTGCGCCCTGCCCGGCCCCGTCGCGCCCGCCCGGCCCCGTCGCACCCGCCCGGCCCCGTTGTGCCCTGCCCAGCCCCGTCGCGCCCGCTCGGCCCCGTCGCGCTCTCCGGGCCCTGTCGCGCCCTGCCTCGCCCCGCCGTGCCCTGCCTGGCCCTGCCACGCCCGCCCGGCCCCGCCGCACCGGCCCGGCCTCTGCGCTCATCCCTGCCCCGGACCCTGCATCCTCACTGGTACGGTTCCCCCCTCCCTGCACCGCCCTGCACCGCACTGCATTGCCCTGCATTGCACTGCACCGCCCTGCACCGCACTGCACTGCCCTGCACCGCCCTGCACCGCCCTACATCGCACTGCAAAGCACTGCACCGCCCTCCACCGCACTGCACTACCCTGCTTTGCCCTGCACCGCACTGCACCGTACTGCCCTGTCCTGCACTGCCCCTGATGGCGGCGGAGCTTCGGTTCGATGCTGAAGGCCAGCCTCTGGAGTTCGAGGCTTGGCTTGCCGACCTCCGGCGCCAACTCACTTGCCATCGGCAGGATGGTGAACCGCTTTCCGCACACCTTGACGGTACGCTCCCCTGCCCAGACCCCCCTGCTGTTCTGCCCGCTGACCCCACACCCACTGAGCGTGAGTCTACTGCTGCCACTGCCCGTGCGCGCTCTGTCTGGCTTTCTCGAGATGCTGTCGCTCAGCTTGCCATTAGCAACGCCCTTCCCCCGTCCGAGCGCCCTCGTTTTAGGTCCCTCACTACTGCTCAGGCTTACTTAGATGCTGTCATTAAGCGCTATTCCACCCCTCCGGCTGCCTCGGTGGGTCGCCTGATCCTCCCGATGCTCTTTCCTGACCTTGCGTCTTTCCCCACTGTCTCTGACCTCGCCGCCCACCTGCGCTCGATAGATGAGACCTGGCGCGCTGCCTGCACTGACGCACAGCTTAGAGCCCACCAGCCGCCCATTACCTCTACCCTTTACCTGCTTGCCACCCGCCTCCCTGACCGCCTTGCTGTCGCCCGTGACCGCTTCCTTAGCATTCACCCCGGTGAGCTCACCCTCACTGACTTTGTCGACACCCTGACTGTGATTGAGACCCGCCACCGCTCCATCGCCCAGGCGAGCGGTACCATGCCGGTCCCTATCTTTCAGGGTTGTGCCCCCGCTAAGTGTACCTTCTCCGACGGCTCTGCCGCTGTGGCTGAGACTGCTGCTGCTGCGCAGTTTCGTTCGGGGAAGGGCCGCCGCCCCAAGGTTGGGCGCGGCGGAGGAGGCGGGGGTGCGGGAGGGGGTGGTGGTGGAGTCGGGTCATCTGGTGCTGGAGCGGACGAGGGGACCCTGCCCAGTCCAGCTGAGCCGCCGCCCCTACAGTCGCAGCAGCAGCAGCAGCCGCCGCAGCCGCCACAGTCGCAGCAGCCGCAGCCTTCGCAGCAGCCGCAGCAGCCGCCGCAGACGAGGCAGACGAGTGTCCTCCCGCCCGGGTGGCCCGGCGCTGGCAGTGGTCGGGCGCGTGGTGGTGTGCCGAGTGGTGGTTCTGGAGGCGTGCGTTGTCAGTACCAGATCCAGACCGGTCCTCGCCGCGGCTTCGTTTGCGGTAAGATCGGTCACTCCACTCCCCGCTGTTTTCGTCGCCTGGACGACCTGTTTCGTCAGCGCTTCGGCCCGTCGCCCGACCTCCCGGACTGGCACAGTTTGCTTAGTCGTAACATTCCGATTTTTGACATGGACATGGATGCCATTGTTTCTGCTCTGCATGTGATGTATGCTGATGACTCTAGTGTGCTTCCCGCTTATTACTCACTGTCGGCTAGTGTAGGTGTGCCTCGCTTAGACTCCCCTGCTGCGTCAGGCGTAGGATCCCCTGCTTTGTTTAGTCTTGGTGCTTCCGCCGTCGTTCCGTCGCCAGACGCCTCTGCTTCGCTTTCCTTCACCTTGGACTCTGGCGCTTCCCGGTGCTTCTTCCGCGACTCCACTACACTGACGCCGCTTCCTGTTCCTGCTGCTGTTTCTCTTGCTGACCCCTCCGGCGGTCCGGTAGTCGCCCGCAGTTCCACCACCCTTCCCTGTCCGGCGGTTCCTTCGGGCTCTCTTACAGGTCTGCATATCCCCTCGTTCTCCAGGAACCTAGTTGGTGTCGGCTGCCTCCAGGACCTTGGCGTCACCACTACGTTCCCTGGTCACGAGCGGTATGCTGTCTGTACCGAGGCCGCCACGGGTGCCCCCCTGTCCACGTTCCCCCGGGACCCTGTGTCCGGCCTGTTCACTCTGGACACCGTGACCCCCCCGGCTGGGGCGCTCCCTCAGGTGGCTGCGTCTTCCCAGATTGCTGCTGCCTGCTCCTGTCGGTCCCTCACTCACCCGACTCTCCTTTGGCACCACCGCCTAGGTCACCCTGCGCTCCCGCGTCTGCGTCACATGTCCCAGCACGGTCTTGTTCTTGGTCTCCCAGGTTCCCTCCCCGCTTTTCCCTCCTCCCCAGCCCCACCTTGCACGCCTTGTGTCGAGGGTCGGCTTCGCCGTGCCCCTCACTCCTCCTCGTTTCCCCCTACCGCCGCGCCGCTGCAGACCTTGCACCTGGACGTCTGGGGCCCCGCCCCCGTCCCTGGGCCGCGTCCAAAGCGCTACTTCCTTGTGCTTGTCGACGACTTCACTCGCTACACCTCGGTCTTTCCCCTGGAGCGGAATGCCGACGTGCCTGCCGCTCTCATCCCCTGGCTTGTCTCTGCCCGTGTCCACCGAGGTCTCCCTGTCTTGCACCTTCACTCCGACCGTGGTAGCGAGTTTGCCTCAGGCGTCCTTGGTCGCTTTTGTCGTGCGGAGGGCATCACCCAGACGTTCACCCTACCAGACTCCCCACAGCTGAATGGGGTCGCTGAGCGACGCATCGGTTTGGTCATGGAGGTGGCTCGCACCTCCATGATTCATGCCGGTGCACCCCATTTTCTGTGGCCGTTCGCCGTGCGCTACGCTTCTCACCAGCTTAACCTGTGGCCGCACCCCCAGCAGCCGCAGGTTTCGCCGACCCCTCTTTGGACTGGGTCTCCTGGTGACATGCTACGTTCCACGTCTAAGGCTGCCTTGCTCACGTCCGTGCCTCTGGCCCGGACAAGCTCACTGCCTGCACCCTTCTCTGCGTCTTCCTCGGTTTTCCCCTTGACGCGTCCGACTGGCACTTTTACCACCCGCCTTCTCACCGCTTCTTTCACTCTCGCGACGTCACCTTTGACGAGTCCGTCTCCTACTACTGTCGCTTCCCCCACCGCGGTTCCCCGGTTTCACCCCCCTTGTTCCTGGTCACTCCTTCCCCGGTAGTCCCTGCCCCTCCTCCTCCTCCTCCCCGTCCTGCCCCCTCTGGTGTGTCCCACGTCACCCCCCTCCCGTCGGTGGACCCGGTTGAGGAGTCTTCTGACTCTGGTGGCCCTGCTGCGCAGTCCTTGCCGGCCGCCCCTCCCCCGGCGTCCCCTCCCCCGGCGTCCCCTCCCCAGTCCCCTCCTCCACCGCCTCTGCCGCCGCTGCAGCCGTCGTTGTCGCTACCGCCGCCGCCGCCGCCGCCGCCGCCGCCGTCGCAGCACCCGTTCGCTGACTCTGGGGGTGCTAGTCCCGGTCGCCCTGGGGGTGGTCCCTCTGCGGGTGCTGGTGTGGAGTGTGCCGATGGTAGCCGAGGAGCGGCTTGCGGTCCCGGTGTCGTCGTTGTGCCGCCGCAGCAGCAGTCCCCGCCGGTGTCAGCCCTTCGCCTGCTCGGCCTTCTGTCCCCCGACCCTGCGTCTGTTCCTCTCCGACCGTCTCCTCCTCTTCCCGTCTACGGCCATGTGTTCCCTCCGCCGGACTCGTCCCCGGCCCGTCTTCCCCCCCGTTTCCCTCCTGTGTCCCCTCCCCTGTCTCCTGACCCGACTCCTCCGTCGCACGTCTGGTCTCACCGTCCCTCCCGTGCTCGTCCTGCCTCGCCTGTCTTGCGCTCCCACCCTATGTTGCTTCGTTCCCACGCGTCTCGTCCTCCCCTTCTGCCGTCGCCTCCTCCGTCCTCCCTTGTTGTTGCACCCCCCCCGCTGTCTGACTACCTTCGTGCCGCTCGTCCTCTTGTTCCTCGGGTCCTTGCCTCTCTCGTTACCGACCCGTCTGTTCCGGTCTCGTGCCTTGACGCTCTTGTCGCTGCGGTCGCTGACTTCGCCTCTACCCGCCGCCTTGACTACGCCACCGCTCTGGTCTCTGACCCTGCCTGTCCTCCGTCTGTCGGGGGTG